GGTCCCGCCCCGCCCTCTCGGGGACACCGCGCCCGCCCGCCCGCCCGGCCGGCTCGCGCGGGAGCGCGGGGCCGGGAAACTTTGCCTTCCATTGTGGTGTGCGATCCTCGCGGGCGGAGGAGAGGAGCGTGTCCGTGGAGGAAAAATGTCCTTCTTCAATTTCCGTAAGATCTTCAAGTTGGGCAGCGAGAAGAAGAAGAAGCAGTACGAGCACGTCAAGCGGGACCTGAACCCCGAGGAGTTTTGGGAGATCATAGGTGAACTGGGCGACGGAGCGTTCGGCAAAGTGTACAAGGTGAGCGGGAGGCGGGAAGCGGCGCTCGGGCATCTCCCGCCCCGGCCGACGGGCGCCCGGGCGTCCCGCGCGTCGCCCCCTCGTCTCCGTGGCTGTGCGGAGAACTTCGTGCAGCTCGGCCCCCGCGGGCCGGTGGGGACGCGCTGGCGGCCAGGCGCAGGGCGGCGGGACTGTGGCGGCCCGCTCGGCCCGACTGGAGGCCTGGGAGCGTTCTTGTTTTGGAGGGGTCTGGGGGTGGGCCTCGAGGATCTTAAGTCGAACCTCGTAGGTCTTCTCGGGACGTCTGTGTGCCGATGGCGTTTGCACGCACGCTTGTAGTAAAGCCGCTTACTTTTGAAGACGAGAGCATATATTTCGCAGTCCGTACCTAGTGCATAACCAGCCTCCTGGGATCCGAGTACAGTGGTTGCCACGTGCAGGCTCTCCTTGAATTGGTTGCTTGACCATGTACTGTAAAATGGAGTGGAATTTCTGGTAGAAAATTTCCAGAAGAAGGGCATCTGGTTTTAGTTTCTAAATATCATTATAATAAGCAAATGACTAGAAGTAGCCCTCGAGAAATTAAAAGAAAACACACATGTGCTTTACACACGTTTATTTCAATAAAAAGAGGTTTGACGTTTCAACCTGAAGGCTTTAATATTAACCGTTTACACTGTAGGGAGCGTGTGAATGATGTCATAGGAATATTTTCTTCCTAAAGGGTGAGGTTTTTATGAGGTACAGTTTGGAGGAAGGACCCACAGGCTTGCCTAGAAGTGAAAACATAAATAACTTTGCAGGAGTGCAGAACTTCGCAGTTTTTAAGCACTTTCAAGTCATTTGGTTCCTTTAAAAATACGGAAGGTATGCAAGCCAGTAGTATTAGCCACATTTCCACGGTGAAGACTTGAGACTCAGAAATTACTCATAGTTGTGGAGTCACACCCTAGACTTGAATTTAGGTCTTCTGATTCCATGTTTAATGGATTTTCTTTTTAACATCTATTGGTGGAAATTTATTTTTTATTTTATTTATTTTTTGTCTTTTTGAGAGCGGGGATTTCTAGCCCAGGCTGACCTCAAACTTTTTTTTTTGGCGGAATTGGGAATTGAACTCAGGCCCTTGCGCTTGCCAGGAAAGCGTTTATTGCACTGAGCCATCTCCCTAGCCCTATTTTTTGTCTTTTTGAGGCAGGGTCTTGCTATGCAGTTCAGGCTGGTCTTGAGCTTACTTGGTAGCCCAGGCTGGTCTCGAACTCAACAATCCTCATCCTGCCCCAGCCTCCTGAGTACTTTTTTTTTTTTCCCCCGGAACCAGGGATTGAACTCAGGCCCTTGTGCTTGCCAGGCAAGTGCTTATTCTGCTGAGCCATCTCCCCTGCGGAACCAGGGTTTGAACTCAGGCCCTTGCACTTGCCAGGGAAGGGCTTATTACACTGAGCCATCTTCCCAGACCAGCCTCCCGGGTACTACTGGTAGAAATGACAGCATTTTTCCTTCCTTTGGAGCACCATTACCCCTCTGCGTCTGCCTTTGCCTTGCCTCAAATGCGATTTGTCATAGCTTCAGTCCTCCTTATTTACTCAGTGTGAAATACCCACTCCTTTCTATGTATTTTCAAAACACATTGTTCATGGGCAACCACAGCAGTTGTCACATCTTATAGTCAGTATGTTTGTGTTCTGTAGTAAAATGGTGGGCGGAATTGTACATTCGGGGTCACCATTGACTCAGCATGTGCTTGTCTCTTGTTGAAATCAAACAGTTCTCTTACCTACATGTATTAGGTGGCAAAGTAAACTGCAGTGTTTGTGTAGAGGTAGAGTATGGTTTCAGCAAGAAGTTGCCATGTAAGACGCCTGGTGGGAAGGGCTTTGTGTTGTAGGAGGATCACTCCTGGGGGTCAAGAACTGTTCTAGTGCTGGCTGTCACAAGCCAGCTAGCTTTGTGATCTTGGACAAAACATGTAACTCCTTTGGGTTTCCCTTTTTCTTAACTGTAAAATCATGGGTTTTCCTAAACGTTTGTTCAGACTCCTTCATCTGTTAACGTTCTTTGAGTCAGCTAGGAAAGGCAAGGTAGTTAGTTTCTCCAGGCGCCTGGAATCTTGTAGAGAAAGGGTGCTGCGCTGTAAAGCCAAGTGTGCTTCCTTGAATGTGAATGGTGTAGTTTTAAGAGCACCGGCTCTGAAAGTGCTTCTCAGTTCCTCGCTCAGTGGCGGGCTGTGACCTTGGGCAAGTGCATACTTGTCATGCTGTGTGTGGTGATCCGCAGCAGAAAACTTTCTAAACTTGATTCTAGCTGTCATTTCCATATAGAAGTTGGTAGCGATGACAAAGATGCAATAGAACTAGGAAGTCATGTCATGTATTTAGTTTACTCTGAATCATCTTTACATTGAATCATCTTTACGTCGCATGGTTGTTCTTCCCACACAGTCCAGCTTTATACAACTAACAAAATCCTTCCTTCCTTTCTTCCTTTCTTTTGCCTTTTTGAGACAGGGTATTGTAGCTCAGGCTGGCCCTGAGCTCACTTTGTAGTCCAGACTGGTCTTGAACTCTCAACAATTCTCCTGTTTCAGCCTACTAAGCAAAATTATTTTCTTAGGCCCTGGGAGATAGCTCAATGGTATAAGTGCCTGCCTGGCAAGTGCAAGGTCCTGAGTTCGATCCCACATACCAAAAAAGAAAAAGAAAAATTACTTTCTTACTTGAAAAACCATAACAACTTTACATTTGTTTTCTCTTTTTTTTTATGTTGTATGATGTATAAATGAAGATATGCAATGTCCTTTGCAATGTTTTCATATTTTGATTGCTGTTTAAACAGAAGGAGTAACTATGTATTATATTTCTAGAAAGCTGTTTTATTTCTTAAGCAAATTGGTGCTGGACTCTTGGGTGTGTGCTGGATGGAAGTGATTTTTAGAACAGATACATTTTTGCCTTTTAAAAAGTAGTGAAGTATTTAATTTTTGTATTAGAAAGTACAAAAATATATCAATAATAATAAAGTGAATTTGTATTAATGTCAGGATCAAGGGATTTTTGCCAGCACCCTAGATTTCTTCCCCCCTCCTTCCTGAAGCAATCAAATCCCTTCTTTCCCTCTAAAGGAAACCACTGTCCTATCTTTATTTGCATTTTAGAGTAGTTTGCCATCTAAACGTGTATCCCTGAACATTATGAATTTAGGATGCACTCGAGCTTTGTAAGGATGGAATTATTTTAAATGTGTTCTGTTGGGTTTTTCCTCTTTCAAAATAAACATTATATATCACCGTCCTACAACTATATTGTCAGTGCGTCTTTACGGTTGCATTGTATTCCCTTGTATGATTCTATCATTGGCTGTTTGCCATTATATCACTAAAGGACGAATCGGCTGTTTTCAGTGTTTGGCTGTCACACAGCATACTGGTGCATGTGTGTATGAGTTTCACTCAGATTGCACCCAGGAATGAGATTGCTGGGTTTTAGAGGACCGTAGCTTTAATTTTAGTAGATGATGCTAAAGTAGTTGTATTACTTTGTGCATTATATGGAAATGTTCTTGTTCTGGATTCAGATAAACATTTAATATTATCAGAATTTTTAATAATCTGAGGTATGGTACTTTTATTTGATTGCTAATGAGTAATTCTTTTTGTTGATAAGTTGGATTGCTTTAGTGTTCCATTCTTTTGTTAGTTTTGGTACTGAACTTTCCCTTGTTTATTTGTAAGGGTATGTGTATGCTACATAGTATATGTGTTAGAATCACAAATACATATGTGTTTTGAATTTTAACCACTTTCTGGTTATGGCTGTTGCAAATAAAGGCTCATTCTATGACTTTTCCCCTTCTCATCATAGTATATTTTTATTAACAAAATTTTTTTTTTTTTTTTTTTTTTTGTTGCTCGAATGCCTTTAGGGCACTTTTGGCCAGCGGGAGAGGTGTGAGGTTCGAACTCCAGCAACCTGAGGCTGACAGCTTTGTGGAAGCAGCCACTTAAAGGCCTGAGCTAGGGCCAGGCCCCCCCAAATTTGTTTTTTGAGTCATGGTCTCTGTAATTCACGTTGGCCTTGAGCTCACTGTGTGTCCTAGGGTGGCCTCACCTTCCATTGATCTTACTGATTCAGCCTCCTGAGTGCTAGGATTACAAGCATGTGTCACCATGCCTGGCTTAACGGAATTACTGATTTTAATGTAGCCTAACATGTCAGATATTTCCATTATAGCTAATGCTCTGAATTATGTTTAAGGCATTCTTTCTTAACCTAACAACATGAAGATACTCCCCCGTTTTATTTTGTGCTTTATGTACTGAGAAGACTAATTCACCAAGAATAGATTTTGTGTCTAGTATGTGGTAATAGTCTAATTTCATTTTTCTACCTATATGCATGCACAGTTATCCCAAAATATTTACTGCAGAGGCGATCTCCTTACTGTTGCGCAGTGTCCTATAATATAGGTCTGTTTCTGCAATCTTTACCAATGTTTGTCTATCCTGCCTTTTTAAAAAAATTAGTACAGGGTCTACAGGGTCTCACTACACAGATCGGACTCTTAGTGATCCTCCTGTTTTCAGCCTCCCAAGAGCTGGGATTACAGGAGCAAGCCACACGCCCAGTCTCAGTCCCCATCTCAGTGCACCCTGGGGGCGGGGCTGCACTGGCATTCTGGGGATTGAACCCTGGCCCCTGAATCTGCCTAAGCAGGTGCTTTAATTCACGGAGCTATCTGGCCTTCCTTTATCCTACTGTCTTAATTAGGAAAACATTAAAGTAATCTCTGCTAGGGTAAGACTTCTCCAGCAGTGCCTAATATGTTCTTATCCTTTCTCTTCTGTTCTTTTTATTCTATTCCGTTCCTTTCCCATCCCTTCCCCCTCAATCCTCACTCCATCCTTCCTGTATACCCTTCCTCCTCTGTCTTCTCCTCCTTCCTCTTCTTTTGGGGATCAGTACTAGGGATTTAACCTAAGGCCTTGTTGTTAAGCTATGTCCCTACAGCCCTTTTTGAAACAG